CTTCGGCTGAAGAGGTTGTAAAAAAAAATGCTTTTAAAGCCTCTGACGATCCCAGCTGACTTGCCTGATCAGCAGAGGCTTTTTTTCCTTTAAAAACATTTTTTCTATAACCTCTTCGGCCAAAGAGGTTGTAGAAAAAATGCTTTTAAAACCCTCTGAGGATCCCAGCTGAGCCGCGCGATCATCAGAGGCTTTTTTTTTTTTACTTTTAAAAGCATTTTTTTCAGCCAAAGAGGTTGTAGAAAAAATGCTTTTAAAAATAAAAAAAAAAAGCCTCTGATGACTGCGCGGCTCAGCTGGGCAATGGGGGACGGGGGGGCAGGGATTTTTGCTACCGGTTCTCCGAACCACCCGCCTCCATCGCTACCGGATCGGGTGATCCGGTCCGAACCGGGAGCATTTCACTCCTGTTCTGAACCTTCAAATATTGTTGAGCTGCTGTGGATTTCTAAGGTTGAGCATCAACTGTATTTGTCAGTAGCGACATTATAATTAATTCCCCCCCCCACCTTAGTCTGCTGGTTTTAGGTTCTTCGGATGCGCGAAGTCAAGGGGGAAACGAGATCCACTTAAAAACGGTGTCGCTAACTTAACAACTGCAGTGATTCACTTAAGAACTGTGGCAAGAAAGGTTGCAAAATCGGGCAAGAGAAACGACGCACTGAGCAACAGAAATCTGGAGCTCAATTGTGGTCGTAAGTTGAAGCCTACCTGTGGCAGGCATATAATTGCTTTCATTTTTAAGGTGACTGTTATGTGTTTTTTTTTTCCAAATTAAGTGCGTATGTGCCTACACACTGTTGGTTCCAACCCTCCACAATAATTCTAGTTTCTCCTGTGCCCCCTTTGGGAAATTCATAGCCCGCCCCTGACATGAGAGCAGCTTTTCAGTATTAGAGGGGCTGCCCCAAAGAGGAAGGGGCTCAATTTATTTTCCAAAGCACAAGAAAGCAAGACAAGAAACAACGGATGGAAACTAATCAAGGAGAGAAGCAAGCTGGAATTAAGGAGAAACTTCCTAACAAGTGAGGATAATTAACCAGTGGAACAGCTTGCCACCAGAAAGTTGTGGGAGTTTAAATCACGGAGGTTTTTAAGAGGAGACTGGACAGACAGTTGTTTAGGATGGTATATGGTCTCCTTGGAGGTTGGACTAGAGCAGGGGTCTCCAACCTTGGCAACTTTAAGCCTGGTGGACTTCAACTTCCAGAATTCCCCAGCCAGTCTTCTTTCTTTCTTTCTTTCTTTCTTTCTTTCTTTCTTTCTTTCTTTCTTTCTTTCTTTCTTTCTTTCTTTCTTTCTTTCTTTCTTTCCTTCCTTCCTTTCTTTTTTTCTCTCTCCTTCCTCCTTTCTTTTCTTCCTTCCTTCCTTCTCTTTTTCTTTCCTTCCTATTTCATTCTTTCTCCTTCCTTTCCTTTTTTCCTCCTTTCCTTTTTTCCTTCCTTTCTTTCTCCCTCCTTCCTTCCCCTTCCTTTCCTTCCTTCCTCTTTTTTCTTCCTTCCTTCCTCCTTCTCTTCCTCCTTCCTTTCTCCCTCCTTCTTTCCTTCCCTTTTTCTCCTTCCTTCCTTCCCCTTTCTCCTTTCTTCCTTCCTTCCTCTTTCTCTCCTTCTTTCCTTCCCCTTTCTCTTTCCTTCCTTCCTTCTCTTTTCCTTCCTTCCTTTCTCCTTCCTTCCTTCCTCCTTCTCTTCCTCCTTCCTTCCCCTTTCTCCTTTCTTCCTTCCTTCCTCTTTCTCTCCTTCTTTCCTTCCCCTTTCTCTTTCCTTCCTTCCTTCTCTTTTCCTTCTTCCTTCCTCCTTCTCTTCCTCCTTCCTTCCCCTTTCTCCTTCCTTCCTTTTTCCTTCCTTCTTCTTTTTCTCCTTCCTTCTTTCCCTCCCTCCCTCCGTGAAAACAAATGAGTCACGCACAAAAAGCTAAATAAAATTCTTAATCTTCCCATTCAGATTCTCTCTGAAGTGAGTCATCCCCTCTTGTTGTCTCACACTTTCTCAGGGATGCAAATATCCACCCAGGGGCTTCTGTTAACCAAAACTTTGGGGCTGAAGGGATCAGGAATCGTTTCCTGCCAAAATTTGCTTCTTCTGATGACTTCAGGGGGTTCCTTTTGCTCTCATAGATCCTGGCCAAAACGTTCAGGATGAGAGAACTGGATCAAAGGTGCTATGTTGCTTAAATCTTTTACGCCACCACCCCACAAAAATTGGGAAATTCAGATTAACCAGAATAACGACACACGTTAATGAGTATTCTGGGAAAAATAAATACATCTGATGAGGGGAAAGAAATCTATTTCCGTTTACAAGTTAGAAAAGGACAATCTGCATTTAACAGGTGAGTTCAGACATGTGGGCCCCATTTTCTGCCCTGTGAAATGGGGAAGTCCTATGTCGCCTAATCCTACTTTTGTCGTATTTTCTCTACATATTATCACACCTTTCTGACTTGACTTCTAACTTTTTGGCTCCAGCTCAGCAGCCGCTAATCTCCCAATTTTTTTCAATGTTCTAGCCATCTTCCTTTAATGGCAGTAAATACCAGTTACGCAATTGGTCCTCAGGTATTTTATTTTTGCTTTTTTTACATGGTCATTACAGCAATATCTACTGGGCAAAGATTACTGGAAGCTACCATAGAAGTTATCTAAAATTATTTCTCTGTCATCCGTTTTGAGATCTTTCCCTTTCCTTCCTTCTTTCTTTCTCTCTCTCTCTCTTTCTTTCCTTTCTTTCTCTCTTTCTTTTCTCTCTCTTTCACTGCCCACCTCTGCAAATGACTTTTCTTTCTTTCTCTTTCTTTCTTTTTCTTCCTTCCTGCTCCTTTCTCCTTTCTCTTTTTTCTTTTCCTTTCTTTTTTCTTTGTCTCTCTCTTTCTTCCTCTCTGTTCCTTTCTATCTTTTTTTTTCTTTCTCTTTTTAACACTCTCTATTTATTTATTTTTCTTTCTTTCGTTCTTTCTCTCTCTCTCTCTCTCCTTCTCACACTCTCTCTTTGCCTCTTTCTCTGTTTCTTTTTCTATCCTCCCTTTCTCTTTGTCTGCTTCTCTTCTTCTCTTTCTTTCTCACTTTCTCTTTTTGTTTCTTTCCCTCTGATGAGCATCAACAACAACAGAAAAACAGGCAGGGGCCCTCTGCGGCTTCCTCACCTTTCCCTTTGTAACTTGGCATGAATTTTCCTGCGATACTAAGCAAGACTAAGTTTATTTTATTTATTTATTTATTTATTAAATTTATATACCGCCCTATTCCTAAGGGACTCAGGGCGGTGAACAGCGAACGATAAAAATACATGTAATACAAACGTTAATAATAAAAAACCAATTAAAATATACTAAACATTCTGGTCCTAGATAAATAAGTTTCCAGGGAACCCAACAACTCTCGGCTGACTTTGGTCAAAAACTGTCCTTAACCCCCTTTTTGAAAAAGCCTTCGGGAACCCCAAGATCCTAAACCCCAAAGACATCCGGTCTGCAACACCAGGAGGGATAAATAGAGCCAGGCCAGGCTGGGCTGGAAGTGGGGGGGGGGTCCGTGTGCCCGCTCACCTTTCCAGAAAAACCTGGGTGTGCCTTGAAAGAACAACAGAAACATGATGCGGCTTGTTCTCGCCCTCCCTTTCAACAATTATTTTTCCGAGAGAAAAAAGTGACTCAAAAGTGCCCAGCAACTTTTCGTGCTTTCGTTTCGAACTGCTTGGTGGATTGATCAGGAATTTAACCCTGTTTTGTCCACCCACACTGTCCCGCGGGAGTCAGCCCTGAAACTACCCCTCCCTCGGCCAACAGTCTGCCGGGCATTCTCTTTTTGGAATCATCATTATTATTCATCATCATCATAATAATCATAATCATCATCATCATTTTTATTATTATTATTAATTAATTTTATTTATTAACATGAAAATCAGTCAAATGAATAATAATAAAAAAAAATAATAATAATAATAATAATAATAATAATAATAATAATAATAATAATAATTACTATATTATTATTACTACTATTACTTACTATATTATTATTATTATTATTATTATTATTATTATTATTATTAATAATAATAATAATAATAATAATAATAATAATAATAATAATAATAATAATAATAAAATTAAAAAGGCAAAGAGATCCCAAGCCAGAGATCGGATCAGATGGGCCGTTGAGCAGGAATTGAACACAATCAAATTAAAGTTTTGCCAACTAAATTGGCATCTGTAAGGCAGAGAGCCCAGTTTAGCCCTGAAGCCTGCACTGGTTTAGACTGGGAATTGGGGTGGGTGGGTTTTCTATGATTCCGATACTAGTCTTCTAGTATTTTGTATTTTTTTAGGAAAACAAAGGCCCGTTGACTCAGTACACCAAGTCCGTGCAGAATCGAATTCGGCCTTGAAAGCTGAAGGAGCGTTTCACAAACTTTGACCAACTCAAGGGAATTGAGGCCCACCCGTCTTTTAAGAGCGGCAAGAGTTGACCAAACACGGGTTTGCAGCACTGTGTGAAACTCAACCGACCGCCTTCCCTGCTTCACAAACCATGGCTTAAGCTCCAAGCTTGCAGAAACCAACATTAAAAACAATAGCCAAGCAGGAGAGGGGGAAGAGAGAGAGAGAGAGAGAGAGAGAGAGAGAGAAATCTTGATCCTTTCAAAAGGATGCCCCCCAATCAAACAATAGTGTCACCCCCCCCTCCAAAAAGTATAGGGTCTCTCTAAGCTTGAGCAGGGGGGGGGCTGGACTAGAAGACCTCCAAGGTCCCTTCCAAGCTCTATTCTGATGGATTGGGTGCCTTCAAATTCAAGGAGGTCGAATAAAAGGTGATAAGGGGGGGAGGGGGGAGAAAGGCACGGGGGGGGAAACACGGGATGGGGGGGGTTCCTTAGTCCTCCGTGACCCCAATTCTTCGTGGGTTTTTTTCTTCCCCCAGGGAGTGAGGGGGATTCCCTCAGCCTCAGGGCTTGAACCCGCGTCTGGGCTGCCTGCCCTCCTCCCCAGCCCCGCTTCCTTACCCCAACCTGCGAAGAAGAGGCAGCCCCAGAGCCAGCCGTGCGCCGCCATCGCCGCTTCTCTCGCGCTGGCCGCTGCCCAGGTGCGCCAGGTGAGCGCAGAGCGGGGCCGCTCATTGGCTGCGCCGCCCGCCCGTCACCGCCCACCGCCCAGGTGAGGCCTCCTCCTCCGGCTGGGAAAGCGGGGGCGGGGCCAAAAAAGGAGGGGTCGTCCCGGAGGGGCTCTCTATAGCTGGGGGGGGGGGGGAAGCGGCCCCATCTTCCCCGGAGGCACCTGCGAAGGAGCCGAGCTCACCTGGGCGTCGCTACCCCGCTTGGATTTCTCCCGGCCTCGCTTGGTTGGTCGGCTGCTTCTTTTTTTTTTTTTTTCTGCTTCGAATATAGAAGCGGAGAATCCCGAGGGCTGGAAAAGGGGGCTTCTCGAGGTCCTCTAGACTAACACACACACACCCGGTTCAGGCAGGAGTCCTTGTAACCCAACCCAACCCCCCCTCAAATGGCTGTTCAGCCTTTTCTTGGAAACCTCCAGTTTTCCCGTTTTCCATTCATAAGAGTATCAGGGTTGGAAGGGACCTTGGAGGTCTTCTAGTCTGACCCCCTTGTTAAGACAAAGAGATGGTCTTATGGCATCCAGGAACAATGGCTGTCCAATCTTTTCTCAAAACTCTCCAGTGATGGAGCAGCCGGAACTCCAGGAGGAAGGTTTGTCTTGCTTATCTTTATCTTTCTTTCTTTCTTTCTTTCTTTCTTTCTTTCTCTTTCTTTCTTTCTTTCTTTCTTTCTCTTTCCTTCCTTCCTTCCTTCTTATTCTTTCTTTCTTATTCTTTCCTTCCTTCTTTTCTTTTTTCTTTTTCTTTCCTTCCTTCTCTTTTTCTTTCTTTCTTTCTTTTTTTTTTTCTTTCTTTATTTTTCTTTCCTTCCATCTTTCTTTTTTTTTTTCTTATTCTTTCCTTCCTTCCTTCCTTCTTTCTTTCTTTCTTTCCTTCCTTCCTTCTTATTCTTTCTTATTTTCCTTCCTTTTTCTTTATTTCTTCCTTTTTCTTTCTTTCCTTCCTTTCTTTTTCTTTTTCTTTCTTTTTCTTTTTCTTTCCTTCCTTCTTTCTTTTTTTTTTTCTTTTTTCTTCTTTCTTTCTTCTTTCTTTCTTTCTTTCTCTCTCTCTCTTTCCTTCCTCCCTTCCATCCATCCATCTCAAGCAGGAGACCCTACCCATCCCATTCTTTTTAAACCTCCAGGGATGAAGCACCCACAACTTCTGGTGGCAAGCTGTTCCACTGTTCTCACTGTCAGGAAGTTTTCTCCTCAATTCCAGGTTGCTTCTCTCTTGATTAGTTTCCATCCATTGTTTCTTGTCTTTCTTTTCCGGTGCTTTGGAAAATAAGTTGGTCCCTCCACCTCTTCTTTGGGGGCAGCCCCTCAAATGCTGGAAGACTCCCCTGGTCCTTCTTTTCACTAGACTAGCCAGGCCCAGTTCCTGCAACCGTTCATAATCCCCAGGCTTTTTATCATCTTCATCAGAAGTTGTGGGAGCTTCATTCCTGGAAGCTTTCAAGAAGAGACTGGACTGCCCTCTGTCAGAAATGGTGCAGAGTTTCCTGCTTTGGCGCGGGGTTGGACTAGATGACCCACAAGGTCCCTTCCAACTCTGTTCATCTGTTAAACCTTTGTTGCTCTTCCCTGCACTCTTTCCAGGATCTCAGCATATATTTTTTTTTGGTGGCAACACAATTCAAAAGGCAGGAAGAAGAACCTCAGCGTAACCCAGGCTTGGGGTTGTTGAAACTGGGATGAGAAGCACTTGGCAATTTTTCAAGGTCCTGTTGTTGGACAATCAAGAGTTTTCGGACACCCTTTCAGTGCCTGTGGCTTCACCAGCTGAGTTTGATGGATTGTTGCATTAACAGAGGTCAAGGGAGGTACTAACACCACTCTGTAAAGCCTTAGTAAGGCCACACCTAGAGTCCTGCATCCAGTTTTGGTCACCACACTATAAAAAAGATTTCGAGATTCTGGAAAGAGTGCAGAGAAGAGCAAGCAAGGTGATTCGGGGGCCGCTGGAGGCTAAAATATACGATGAACATTTGCAGGAATTGGCTGTTCTGACCCGGCTTAGCAGAACCAAGAAACAGACTCCTTGTCCCCCCCCAAAAAACACCCTCTTTATTTAACTACTGTGAATTCATGGCATTCACACAAGAGAAAAGTCCAGGCAATAATCCTTCCAAGGGTTAATTGCAATAACAGACCTTATCAGTCCTTGGATAATTGCCAGGCCGAGAGCTTCTAAGTTGCAAAGCTTGTGGGGAAAAAAGGTTGTAAAATCAGGCATGGTTTACTAAACAACCAGCTGGCTTAGCGATGGAAACTGTGATCCTGATGGCAGTCGTAAGTCAAGGACTAGAAGTCTGGACTAGAAGACCTTTAAGGTCCCTTCCATCTCTGTTCTGTTCTATTGTAATTTTATTCTATTCTATTCTATCCCATCCTATTCTATTCTGCATTCTATTCCATTCTATTTTCTCTTCTATTCTGCATTCTCTTCTCTTCTCTCATTCTATTCTATCCTCCTCTCATTCTAGTCTATTCTATTCTCTCATTCTATTCTCATTCTATTTTCTCCTCTTCATCTTCTATTCTATTCCATTCTATTTCTCTTCTATTCTGCATTCTCGTCTTCTCATTCTATTCTATCCTCTCATTCTATTCTGCATTCTCTTCTCATTCTATTCCTCTCTCATTCTATTCTGCATTCTATTTTCTCTATCTTCTGCATTCTTCTATTCCATTCTATTTTCTCTTCTCTTCTGCATTCTCATTCTATTCATTCCTCTCATTCTATTCTGCATTCTATGTTCTCTTCTCTTCTGCATTCTTCTATTCTATTCCATTCTATTTTCTCTTCTATTCTGCATTCTCGTCTTCTCATTCTATTCTATTCCTCTCCTCTCATTCTATTCTGCATTCTCTTCTCCTCTCATTCTATTCCATTCTATTTTCTCTTCTGTCTGCACTTTTCTCTTCTTCTCATTCTATTCCTCATTTCTATTCTGCATTCTCTTCTCATTCTATTCTGTCCTCATTCTATTCTGCATTCTATTTTCTCTTCTTTTCTGCATTTTTCTATTCTATTCCATTCTATTCTCTTCTATTCGACATTCTCCTCATTCTATTCTATTCCTCTCCTCTCTTCTATTCTGCATTCTATTTTCTCTTCTCTTCTCATTCTATTCCATTCTCTTCCTCTCCTCTTCTATTCTGCATTCTCTTCTCCTCTCATTCTATTCCATTCTATTTTCTATTCTGTTCTGCACTTTTCTCTTCTTCTCATTCTATTCTATTCCTATTTCTATTCTGCATTCTCTTCTCATTCTATCCCTCTCCTCATTCTATTCTGCATTCCATTTTCTCTTCTTTTCTGCATTTTTCTCTCTTCTATTCGGCATTCTCTCTCATTCTATTCTATTCCTCTCTCTCTTCTATTCTGCATTCTCTTCTGCTCGCATTCTATTCCATTCTATTTTCTCTTCTATTCTGCATTCTCTTCTGCTCGCATTCCATTCCATTCTCTTTTCATAAAAAGGCCCACCACCTGCATTAGATCTATTTATTGTCTTGGGAGCTGCTGGGACCCGATCAAACAATGGGGAATATTTCCATCGGCCTATTCTCATGGTCAGACCCTCCGGGGTTTCTGGGGAGTTGACCTGTGATCCAGATCTCCGCTGGGAAAATAACACATTTGACCTCGAATGGGTCCTCAGTCTCTGTTGACAAAAGGATTAAATTCAAGATTTTTCAAGACTTGGAAGGTTTAGTCAGATTGACATTGTACTACTTTACATTGTACTACCAAGCCAGTTACTTAAGGTGGATTATGGGTTCTCTCTCTCTTTAGGGCCAGCTGACTCCTTCTATGCAAGGGGCAAATCAATCTGCATAAACATCTCTGGTTAATAAAATAAGGAACAATTTACCGTAGAATAACTTTTGCAGCAATAAGTAACGTATTGACCATCTGGGAGAAGTACAGAAAAAGCAGATTTCACCCCCCCCACTTTTCTTTCCTCGTTATTAAATGTTTGGTTTTACGAAGAACAAAACACGGAGAAGTTTGCTCAGTGGAGAGAGGAGGACAATATATTCCCATTGCGAGGTTGGATCGGTAATAACAAGACAAAAGATTACAATCTTTTGGGATTCCTAAATGGCAAAAAAAATAGCCGGATCGGTTCACCTGAGAGGTTTCAGAAGATGGAAATGAGGAGCATAAAACTTGGAAGCGCTTCAGAGGTTTGACTGAATTTGGAAAAAAAAAAAACCTCTCATTTAAAGGGAAAAAGGGAGCTGGGCATCTATTGATTTCGAGTTAACATGAATGTATGTTACCAGACATACATACAGGCAGAAAGCAATACCCCAATTAAGGAACCCCCAAGGAGAAAAACCACACTCACCCCCCAACAACACTGGCAGGGCAAGCCACACACACACACATAAAGGTAAAGGTTCCCCTTGCACCTATGTGCTAGTCGTTCCCGACTCTAGGGGGTGGTGCTCATCTCCGTTTCAAAGCCGAGGAGCCAGCGCTGTCCGAAGACGTCTCCGTGGTCATGTGGCCGGCATGACTCAACGCCAAAGGCGCACGGAACGCTGTTTCCATCCCACCAAAGGTGGTCCCTATTTTCCTACTGGCATTTTTTACCTGCTTTCGAACTGCTAGGTTGGCAGAAGCTGGGACAAGTCACGGGAGCTCACCCCGTTACGCGGCACACTAGGGATTCAAACCGCTGAACTGCCAACATACAAACACACACACAAACCTTCTAGCACTGATAATGTTACCTAGTTTGGCAACGAAACGTCTGCAGGAAAATAACCAAGCTGAGAGAGCACCAAGGAACCCACAGTCTACATCCTCTTCCTTCACTTCTTCCCTCCTTCTCGTTCTCCAAACTTCCCTCCCCTTTCCAGCACTGAGGATGTTACCTAGTTGGGTCACGAAACCTCTGCAAGAAAACCACCAGGCTCAGAGCACCAAGGGCCCCACAGTTGTTGTCCTCCTCCTCTTCCTCTCTGCAACCCCACCCCTTCTAG